TTAATATGGGCTCTGAAAGGGAAAAAACACACATGTTAGAGGTGATTGTGTTATCATCAAGTTGGCAGTTAAATAAAACAAGAGAAAAGAAACCCAGACATGTTAACTTGCTATATTAGACAGTTTTTATAATCCTAAACTAAAAGAGAAGGCACAGTCACAGATAAAATAAATGTCCTGATACATTTAAACAAGAGGCTAGTTTATGGTCACAAATGTGTCATAATCACACAGTCAGAAAACACTTTGAACAGTTGTGTATCTGATATTTCGGAAGAAGTCAACATTTATTTTATTTTCTTTACTAAAGACTCCATGGACACCTCAGATTTCTGATAAGTAGACAGGCGCAGGACCAGCATGCACATGGAAGGTCTCAGTTTTGTTCACTGAATATTAATGCAGTTGTGCTGTAGGAGTGAGGCCCTGCCAGATGTGCATGCTGACCGTTTCATCTGTAAATAATCAGCTGGTTTATAACAGCACTCACCAACAACAAGCTCAATGTGGAATGTTCTGATTTCTGGCTTCAGTTTTGGAAATTTACATAAATAGGTTCCGTTGTCCTCCAACCTAGTTTTTTTTATTCTTATAGACGCGTTGCCATGCTTTAACTCTTCTGGAAAATGTGAGACTCGATCTTTAAACTCCTCGTCTTGACCTGAGAGGCCATTATTGTAATATTTGCCATCATCATACAGGAACACATTCTTTTGTGGAACTGTTCCTTCTATCTTCCAGTCAAACAGCATTGACTCAATGTTCTCATTGGTGCTGAGGGAGCAGGGTAAAATGACACCATCATCTTCTTTTACCGTCACTCTGGTCACAGGTGTCCCTGAAAGACAAAACATGAATTAAACAGTGATGAGGATAGAAGGAAAAGTCAGATATGAGGCAGGGGCAGCCAATCAGAAGAAAGTTCACCCTTGATTTTTATCAGTCATGATCATTCTTTTTACCCTTACAAAAATCATATTTTTTTAGTTTACTTCCTCTTCATATTTTCCTGTTGTCATCACAGTCCCACCTGTAGCCCCACAGTTTGTATGACTGGTTTAAATGGAGGCTGAAGGAGCTGAAGAGCTTGTTTCAGAGAGGATGAGCTCGGAGGCTGCACCAAGGCCCAGACTGAGATAAACAAGGATTATTGTGAACTGTAAATCATGCTAAACTGTTCCAGTCGTGTCCAAGAATAATGTATGGAGCTGGAAATGAGTATAATAGCTCATCTTTACTTCATGTACTTCATGAGCTGTTACAGTAATGCTCCTCCATCCTACCAGCACACAGCTCTACCTCAGTAACAATCATACTGTGACCAAACTGTATTTATTTATTTTGTAAACAAAAATATCAGATCATTCATGATTCATTTTCTAATCTAAAAAAGTCTGATTCATCAGCTTTACAACTGTAATAATGATCTATAACAGTTTCAGCTGAGAGCAGCCCTGACATATCTGTGAGTTACTGCTTATTTTTCTCTGCTCTGACTTTCTTTCTTACTGTTTTTGGCTACGATCACAAAGTTCAGTATAAATAATAATAATAATGGATTTATATAGCGCTTTACAATGCCACTATTCATTCACACACTGGTGGAGGCAGCTATAGTTGTAGCAGACTGACAAAAGCGAGGCTGCCATATCGCCACACCAGTAGGGTAAAGTGTCTTGCCCAAGGACACAACGACCAGGACAGAGAGGACGGGGATTGAACCGGCGACCTTCCGGTTACAGATACACTTCCCAACCCCCTGAGCCACGGTCGCCCAAATGTGACCTCTCCATCTTCCTGATTTGTTTTTGGAGTGGATTCATGAAGATCACTCTTCAGACAACCTGGTGAGATTTACTCTGTACTCATATTTTATATATATACATATATTTTTAGTATGTGACTGCAGCATTTGTGTTGTTGTTGGACTTCTGATCTGCCTCTACATTAGCGAAAAAACAATTAATATGGGTTTAAGTTCAATAATTTAGGACCTTTACCAACACAATGTACCGTAGTTAAATGTCACATTCTCTCTCTATTTCTTTCTCCTACACACACTGTCAAAGGTAGTAAGATAATGAAGCATTAACACAAAAAAGGAAGTCAGAGGAAGGAAAACGAGGTTGGTTGCTCAGCTTCCGCTGAATACAAAGGGAGAGACAGTAAACTGGAAGCTATATCATAACTTCACTTTACAGGCTGAATCATAGTTCAGAATTAAACATCCTTCTGTGATGTGTGCATTTTATTTAATTTGTGTTTTTGTGTCTTTCTGTTGTGATCCCACTTAGAACGGGATGTTTTTTGTGAGTCTGCTCTTGGTATGTTTTATGCGCATGCAATACTTTTACAGAATATTCTGTATAGCATTTCCTACTGTTTTGGATTGCTGCACCAATAATAAACATAGATGTGTATAAATCCAGTATATTTCTCCACTAATTTTGATTAAATATTTTAATCATTTGACAGCCATAAATGCTACGCTTTTCATTCAGGGATGACAGTTTTTGGACAGCACCATGGACAATAACCACAGTCAGAGGTAGGCATTACATCATGAGTGCATATTTTCAGTGATAAGAATGTTTCAGTCCTTTGCGAAAACACATAGTACACAAACATCTGAAATTCATCTTTCAGGCATACTTACATAATTTAAAATGCTGCTAAGGACTCTATAAGACACTGAAAAATCAGTGTTGCATCATCGAGGTCAGAAGACAAAGAGTGAGGTCCATTACAGAAGACTCTCTGCATATTTGTTTCTGCTAATATGACTGCATTCACTTGTTGTGGTTATTTTACACAAACGACAGATCAATGTCAGGAAGTACAGAAAATATATTTCCCAGTATTCCTCTCTGCCAACAAAACACTCCGGAAAAAAACTCTATTTTAATGAATGCACTGAGAAGCACTGAGGAAATATTTTAAGAGCTAAAGTTCAGTTCATAAATGTGTACTTCATAAAATGTATGCCTTCACACAATATAACAATGACTTTAATATATAGTGGAACTCTTATAATAGTTCCACTTTACCATGACTCTAGTAATATGAGTATATTGTGCAGATAGAAAATATAGAAAATATCCTTTGATAGTCATTTGCTGAAGGAGATGAAACCTTTCTTGCTTTTGTTAACAGTTATTTTTTAATCAAATATCTAAACCATTCAACACAAAGTTACAAAGCTGTTACTCGTTGTTGTTGCTATTCACGGTGCAGCAGTATTTCTCAATTTTTATCAAACACTACTTCTACATTAAATGTTGTTCTAGAAGCAGCACATAGTGAGGATAGGAAGGTCAGTTGCGTTAAGACATTTAATTGGCCAATCAAGAGTCACTATCGAAAGTGCAAAAGTCAGTGGTGGAAGGGGCGGTTCGCAGCGGCGCAGTAGCCAGAAATGCACCTGAAACTTTGCATATACAGGGAGACCAAAGAGTTAAAAACAAATTAGGGTTTTTTTATGATTCAAAATATTGAAACCAAGAACAATGAAATATTGTAATTTGCTGCATGACTTAAGAAGGCGATAAGCACACCACGAAGAAGTCCACAATCAGACACACACACATGCAGCGCAGTAACAAACACGCGACTCCTTCACATTAAAACTCCTCCAAATGGAATCATTTGATCATAAAGAACAAAGAAAATAGTTTCGTTTCAGTGTTGAAGATGCTGCACATTAATTTGCCGTCTTATTATTTTACTCTAAAACGCGGCTGCGTAAAAAGCTGATGTCACAGGTGTACATGCCGCAGTCATCCACCCACTAAAGCAGCAGCCTGAGCAGCGTTAAAGCTCCATCCGCTGCTGTGAAACATGACTGCGCCTGCACACATGATCGGTCTAAATCAACGAGTTTCTTACCGGATTCAGCACCAAACGTCAGTCCAGATAAATTCAGGAAACAGAAGCTCAGAATCAGAAGTGGTAGAAGCTCCATGTCTGCAGAAACCCTCAAACGTTCAGACGTTACAGGATCTCTTTAATAAAACGGAGCTCGGAGCCACTCCTCGTCCCGCACTGACGCGCTCCAAAACACTTTGAGTTTCTGTTCTCTTAAAGCAGTAAACCATAACTGCACTTCCGGTGGCTTTGTGACAGACATAGAGAAAGGCTGACGGGAGAAAGATTCATGAAGGACATGACCTGTTTCCTGGGTGCTACAGCTGACCTGCGGTAATGAGAATGAGGGGAAAAAAGAAAAGAAAAGAAAAATAAATGCTCATGGCTTACCATTTATATCAAATCTTAACTTCCACCCATCCTCTTCTGCTTATACTTGTCAGGGTCACAGGGAGGTGTGTGTGTGTGTGTGTGGTGGTGGTGGGAGGGACTGTGGGAGGAAACTGGAGTACCCAGAGAGAAAGCCTGATAGCAGATTTGAACTCAGGACCTTTTTGCTGTGAGGTAGAAGTGCTAACCACCGTCCCACCGTGCTTAACTTTACGTTTCAAATTTCTTTTTCATTGCATGAAAAAAAAATTATTCAAAAACTGCATTTCCTCTAGCGGAGACAGTTGAGCTGCTTCAGGCATCTAATGCCTCTTGTATGTGTGCCCTTTAGAGAGGAGGCCCAGACCAGACCCAGGACATGCTGGAGAGATGAGCTGGACGAGGTGGCTGTCGGAAAAGATCTCCTTAGGTTGCTGTCCCCACAAACCAAACCTGGATAAAAGGCACAGGATGGATGGAAGATGGATTATTTTTAGGGTGAAATTTGGATGAATTCATCCATCTATCAATCCATCTTCTTAACTGCTTGTTCATTTCAGGTACACTGGGGGGCTTGAGCCAGTCTTGGCGGTCACAGGGTGAGAGGTGAAGTTGACACAAACGGGTCACCAGTCTGTCATAGAATTTGTTGGTTAACTGATTATTTTTTTTGTATATGGTCACTTCTGGCTTGAACAATCACTCAAAGAAAAAAAAACAAATAAACATTTAGTTTCAGTGGAAAACCAGTGGGTGTTTTCACAGTAACGACATCCATCTTTTAAATCCATCATTTTATATCCATCCATTTTTAAAACAGGCTTCTGAGGGTGAGGAATGCAACCTTCAGAGCTGGGGATGAGGTGAGCCTAAGAACAGCAAAGGCCAAACCTGTCACGTGGTATCAGAGAGGTGAAAAGGCAGTACTCCGGGAGGATTTCACAGAGGTTCATGGACAGCAGAGATACTCGGAAGCTGTGGCACAGACTACAAGCCCACTCCACAGACTGCTGTCGGTTACACCTCTCTACCAAATGAGCCAAACGAATTCTTCGCTTGCTCTGAGGCACAGAACTACACCTCTGCACAAAAGACTCCTCAATCTTATATAAGATTGTATTTTATACAAGACTTTTATTTTATTTTATTTTTATCTTATTATATTTACAGTACTGTGCAAAGGTTTTAGGCAGGTGTGAAAAATTGCTATAAACAAAGAAAGCTTTCAGAAATATAAATGATTGTTTATTGGTCCCAAATGTATTCTGCAGCAGAAATAACGCCAAACATACTGCAAAAGTCATCATCATCATCATTTATTTATATAGCACTGTAAAAACACACAAGGCTGACCAAAGTGCTGAACAACAGAAACATAATAGATACCATAAGAATAATAAATATGATAAAATAATAAACATAGCGAAAACAATAAAATACAAGTCAGTCAACCACTGAGTCAAAAGCCAGTGAATAAAAATGCGTTTTCAATCTGGATTTAAAAACCAGCACTGATGTCGATTCCCTAATTTGAAGAGGATTATTCCAAAGCTTAGGAGCCACGATAGAGAGCGCTCGGTCTCCTCTCAGTTTCAGCCGTGATTTGGGGACTGAGAGCAACAGCTGCTCAGCTGACCGGAGCGAACGAGTGGGGACATCGGGCTTCAGCAAATCAGACAGATACGCAGGTGCTAGACCATTTAAAGATTTAAAAACCAATAAAAGAACTTTAAAATGAATCCTAAATTCAATTGGAAGCCAGTGCAAAAGTCATAGGCAAAGATAGTCAATAACTATCTTCAGCGTAACAAAGAACTATAAGTACTGGAAGTGATGGTGTGGCCCCCACAGAGCCCTGATGTCAACATCATCGAGTGTGTCTGGGATTACATGAAGAGACAGAAAGATGTGAGGAAGCCGACATCCACAGACGATCTGTGGTTAGTTCTCTGAGATGTTTGGAACAACCCACAATCAGAGTTTCTTCAAAAACTGTGTGCAAGTGTACCTAGAAGAAGGCAAAGAGTGGTCACACCAAATATTGATTTAGATTTCCTTGTAAAACAAAGGGGGGCCTAGCACAAAAGTTTGGGAACCACTGTTTTACTGTAACACTGAGGGCTGAGGGAGAACTGCAATTTCAAATTCCTGTGTATGATCTGTACATATGGACCACGTTGACAATACATTTGACAATAAAGCTGACTTAAATGAAAGCAGTTTGCAGTGGCAAAGAAAAACTCTTTTAATAGTAAGAAACCTCTGGCAGCACCAGACTCAGCTGTCCTTCATCCTCCCGAATCTCTCTCATTCAGAACAAAGCTGAAATAAACATAACAGATAAATCTGGGTCCATATTTCTGTCTGCATGTAGGAATGTACAATTACCCACCTGCGGATCATAGTACACACAGTGAGGTTTTCATGTATCTGAATGCTGGAAATGACATGTTTTACATTCTGATGGCATCAGATCCCCCACTCAGGAAGTGAATCTAGTGAAAGAAGGAGAGTGAAATTTACATTTCTTTTAAACATAAACTGAGTGTTTGAAAGGTGAGACTAATCAATTTAAAATTAAACATGAGATTACGACTAGTCTGAGAATTCACAACTGAATTTTATCTCAAAGTCAGACACAGGAACGATACTACAACCCAGGCTATGAAGTCTTTAAACAAAAGAAAAAAAGATTTCACCTCCACTCTCACTTTCACTTTAAACGACAGACTTCCTGTCAGGAAATTAGATTTCACAACAAGCTGGACGTCATCCAGAAGGCCAGACTTCCAAGAACTGACAGCCTTTGGAATAATGACCGTATGTCAGGAGCTGTACTGATCCATGCACTCACACCATATTATCTTCATGATGCAGCATCTCTGCTATCAAGGAAACTGCAGGCATTCATGAGAACTGATGACAGTAACAGGAAGAAGTAAGAGGAGTTTATGACTTGTTTTCTTTTTGCACCACTAATCATTTTCACTTTTCATGTGAGCAGCATGAAGGAAAATGTGGGACAATTAGTTATTCTGCCATGCTGTCATCTACTGTTCAGAAACCCTGATTAAAATCAGAGTTAAACCAGTGACTTAGAAGCTTATCACACAACAATCATCCAGAAGGCCAGACTTCCAAGAATCAGATTCATGAAGGCAGAAGAGCAGAGAAAGAATCAAGTGAGAGTAAAAAAAACAAGCTTCATAAAGAATGAAACCCTGGCTTTGCACTGTTGTGCGTTCATACTCATATATTCGTATTTGGTTTGAAAAGACGAGCTCTATAATGAACTCTCTATAGGCTCCTCTGGGTATTGTCATTCATTCATTTATCTATCTTTATTATTTACATGAGTACATGTGTAATATAACCCACCCCAGCACAAGGAGGGAGGCCTCACAACCAAAGACCAAGAGCCCCACAGAACCACAGGCAGCCAGAGGCCTGACCCAGGAGCTGAGAACTGCACCTGGGATGTTGATGCAGTAATGATGATACACTGCTGAAGACATCAAGTTTAAAGCTAACCCTCAAAACTTCACCAACTTCACATTTTTTCTTTGTTATTCAAGAAAAACTGCAGCAGCTGTTGAAAAAGTTTCTCTTATACTTTAGAATGAAAAGGAAAAGTAGAGTTTAATCTAAACTTTAAGGATCTGTAGGATCAACATTTGCTTTCTTATGTTAGGATTGTATATTTAAAGTAGGGTGACATTAAACTGATGGTGTGATTACATGAAAAAAAAAGGTTGCGAGTACAAACTTGGTGACTGACAGTCTTTCATAGAGCAGAAAAACAGCTCAGATGAGTATTTTGTTTCTCTTCGGTTTTGTCTTTAGAGATTTTGTGTATGACAGAGTAACTGTGTACAAGAGCGCAGAGCTCAGCCTCAGGATTAAACCACAATAAATTTCTTTGTGTTAATTTCTCAGCAGATTGATGAAATCCAAACTGACAGCATCAGTACGTTCAGAAAAGTTTTAATCTGCAGTAAATTCATGTGATGTAATTTGTTCTGTAGATATTCTAAAACTAATTATTCATTAATTATTAAACTGTACTCATTTAAAAAATTCTTTCAAACATATACTGATTGAATCAGTTTAACTAATGACTAGATGGAAATGTAAAAGTACAAACAAGAATAGAGCACTTCACTCTCGCACCGCAGGCCTACTCGTTGTTCCTAGAGTATTTAAAAGAAGAAATATTCTCCTCGTCAGGTGCCAACAGGAGACATTAAGTAGTATCAAATGCTATCATTACTAACAATCTTTGCATTGTCGTTGCTCAACTAATCTTTTACTAGGAAAAATCAGTAATAACAGTGTTTGGGTCACAGTGCAGTCTCACACTACAGCAGTGCTCAGTCCTGTTCTATCATGTATGTTTGCAGATCAAGAAACAAAAAATTAAACACATGAAAAACTTCAAACCAGGAAGAAAAGAGAGAAATGATTTAAAAGATAAGTTTCAATTATATTCTATGTGTTTCTGAAGAAAAACCTCAAACCCACACAGTAAGCCAGAGTGCACCCTCAGGCTGATCTTCAGACACATCAAACACATAAACAGGAAGAGTTGCACTTTTTTGTGCCGCTGCAAGTGTGAACACAGCACTGAGGAAATGAAACATTAACACAGCTTCAGAGGTAAAACCTCTACAGTCCGATTAGTCGTTGCACTTTCTGAAGAAAAATCAGTAATCACAGTGTTTGGGTCACAGTGCAGTCACACACTGCAGCAGTGCCCAGTCCTGCTTCATCAGGTATGAAGGAAAGAGACAGAGAC